TGTGTATGTGTGTGTATGCGTATGTATGTGTGTGAGTGTGTGTTTGTGTGTGAGTGTATGTGTATGTGAGTGTATGTGTGAGTGTGTATGAGTGTGTGTGAGTGTGTATCTGAGTGTGTATGAGTGTATGTGTGTGAGTGTGTGTTTGTGTGTGAGTGTATGTGTATGTGAGTGTATGTGTGAGTGTGTGTGAGTGTGTATCTGAGTGTGTATGTGTGTATGAGTGTATGTGTGTGAGTGTGTATATAAATGTATTGTGAGTGTGGTATGTGAGTGTATATATAAATGTATTGTGAGTGTGGTGTGTGAGTGTGTATGTGAGTGTATGTGTGTATGTGTGTGTATAAGTGTATTGTGAGTGTGTGTAAGAGTGTGTGTGAGTATGTATGTGTGTGTGAGTGTTTGTGCATGTGTGTGTGTCCATACAGGTACTTAATATAAACACAGGGATGCTTTTCTGCATGAGTGTCAAACATCATATTTTAAAAGGCTGGAAAATAATATATGGAAGAACTGAAACAGAACAAGGAGCTAGAAATGGACAGCAACACTGAGGAATTTCTCAGTACTCCCAAGCAGATGGGCTGCAAATGACAGGAAAACAAATGGTCGCTGAGGACTCTGCCCAGCAAATTATGAGCTCTGGAGAAATGGATGGGTTTCCTGAGCCAAGTGTAATGAGTCTGCCAGGCTCGGGGCAACAGGACTAGAAACAAGGGCTGATGGCAGTTGGCAGGGACGCATCAATGGCCTCCAGTTCAGAGCCCTGACCTTGCTCTGCACAACACAGGGAGCAGCTGGTGGGCATCTGTCCTGAGCATCATTCTCAGAACAAAACCAGATTCAGTTTCTCTGTGGCTTCAAAGAGAGGCAGACCACGGGAAGGCAGAGCCCTGGTCAATACCACGACCATAACAAACATGGCAAAAGAGAATGGGCAGCAAATGTGTGCCATCCCTCAGTCCTCTCTGCCTTCAGAAGCATGTTTCCCTCTGCTGAGCCAGCCTACCTTGAGACTGTTCTCGTAGCTGTCACCTTTCAGGTTCAGTGCGAATGACATTTCTAAAGAGTTATGGGTGCTATCATCCATGCCCATAGCTACCTTCAGCCTTCAGAACACATCTCCTGTCTGCCCATCATCTCTCAGCCCAGATACCCTGGAGGAAAGGTACCCTGTGCTCTCTCCTGACCGCTTGCCAGTTCCAGGATGCTAGAAACCCCAGGGACAGTGATGATGTGGCTTATTGGGCAAGATAAAAATGTAGTATCCTTTCAAGAAGGCTTTCTGTAAATTTCCACCAGTTTTATGAATTGGATTTTTTTTTATATAAAATAACTGTGCCTAAAATTCATACAGAAATCCCATGAACCCAGAACAACCACAACAACACTGAAGAAGAAGAAAATTAAAGAATTTATGCTTTGAGGTTTCAAAACTTACTACAAAGCAACAGTAATCAAGTCAGCGTGGTATGTGGATGGTGCCAACAAAACAAATCAGAAGGTCCAAAAATAAAACCACAGAGTACTTGGCAACAATAGCAAGAAAAACAAAAATAACAAAATAGAAAACAAAAAAAAAAACAACTAACCCTGCTTTACAAAACATTTTTAAGTGTTTGTTTATTGTATGTGCCCTGTACGCGTACATGCAAAGGACAATGGAGGATGTAAGCTGCTCTCCTTTATTGCTCCCTCTCTTGTTCCCTTGAGAGAGAGTGTCTCTCACTGAACTGGAGCTTCCAATTTTTGTTGTGGTTCTGCTTTGTGTTGTTGTGCTGTGTTTAAGATAGAGTCTTTCTGTATAGTCCTGGTTGTCTTGGAACTCACCCTGTAGACCAGACTGGCCGTCCTCAAACTGTCAGAGACCTGCCTGACTCTGCCTCCAGAGTGCTGGGACTAAAGATGTGCAGACAATGTCAGTTTTGTTGAGGATCTTTTGTGGCTAAGCTGGCAACCAGCGAGGCCTGGTGATCTTCTTGCCTCCATGTCACACCCCCATCGCCCGGTGCTGGGGTTATAGGTACACATAGTGTCATGCCTAAGACACACATGATGGAAGAAGGGAACCAACTTCTACAAGTTGTCCTCAGACCTCCACACTTGTGCTATGGCAATGTGCACACACACAATAAATACATGTAAAAATACTTTTAAATGGAGTACTGCTATGTGCTACAACATGAACATACCTTGAAAACACAAGTGAAAGGAGTCAGTCATAGAAAAACACAGCATCCATTTTATATAAAATCCCCCCAACATGACATGTATCAAGGCAGAAAATATAGTAGTGATTGCTTGGGGTTGGGGATGAGGAAGGGATGGGGGACTGGAGATAATAAGCTAAAGGGCACATTCTCTATTAGAAACATTCAAAATTAATTACAGTAATAGTTGCATAACTCTACAAATATACTCAGAACCGTGAAGTTGCATACATCCAACGAGTGAACCGTGTGCTTATGAGTTATGTCTCAGCAGAACTCTTACCAAAGAATTAACAAATACCCTAATCAAAATAAGATCAAAACGATCCTGGAAGATACAACCATGAACACCCACAATGACTTCTTCACACAACACCAAATTATAATAAAGAAGGACTAGCTGGGTCCAGTCCTCAGCTTGTATACACCTTCGCTTGAAGTCCGCTAAATTCTCAGAAGCAATGAAGCAGTCAGTGAGTGTTACTTAACCTGCCCCTTCTTGGGAAACAGGGGTAGTACTCATGATACCCACTCTGTGTGGGGGAAGGGGGGAGAGAGACTCTTCTTCCTGTAGGGAATTCTGACTGAAATATTTTTTTCCCTTTGTGTTTCCAAAGATGCTTTTACCTCCTCTAAATGTTTGCAGCAGTTCCTCCGAGGTAATGCCCACTGCTGAAGGCCAGCAGCTACCAGGTATGTTGGGGGATAGGCCAAGAAACTAAGCAAAAATATTTTGCTACCACATTGGCTACCAAAACTGACCTGGAATCCATGGCTTTCAAGTCTGGATTATGTTCAAAATACCCCTAGGAGGTTTTTTTAAAGGTTACTCATTATTATTAAGGCCTACTATTGGGGAGAGGATCCTGGGAATCTGTGTGTTGGGGTGGGACATATCCCAGTAGGGTAGAACATTTGCCTACTGTTGGAACCACCACAACATTAAGTCCAGAACTGTTCTTGGTCTTGTTTGGTAACCACTAACAAGAATCACCATGAACCCATAAGCAAAGATCATTCAGTGCCCACACAATTAGCAGCCCAACAATAAGGTCACCATGGCAAATGGCACCCAGGAAACAGAACTATTACTGGAAACATTTCCCAAGCATTCAAATAAGTGTCCAAAGGACCCAAAAAGAAACTGCGTCAAACAAGTAGGCATATCCCCTTTCTTCCCAGTTCCTGCCGGCCTCCTGCACACTCACTCAGGTGACAGTCACAGGTCCAGGCAGTCTATTCATTTGATAGCCATTATTCCTAACCCGGAAGCCATGGCCAAGTTGGAGGATCCACACCCTGCTAGGACTGGACCCTTCCTGCCCCAGTCTGGAGGAGAGATTAGCTGAACAAAAGAACACAGAGTGAATGCAGAGTAGTCACAGCACACCAGCTGCAACAGGGACTGTGTTTCAAAACTGTACACACAGAACGATGTCAATTTTGGTAAAAATAGGAAGGAGCCGGTGGGGATACCTAGAGAATGCAAACTAAAGTGGTTATATTAACTTTTGAATGGGGACCTGAAAAGGGCTATGGCTCCCTGGCCCTCTGAGCTGGAACTCTCCCTGGTTTCAGAGAGCTATATGTCCCACTGGGATCAGTAGGATTGGCTTGTAGGGTTTGGGAACTTTAAATGAAACCATTCAGGTGACACACTGGGGATATGTCATGCACCAAGTAAGTGCACAACAAAGGCATGGCTAGTAAACTCCTCCAGCACCAGGACCAGTGAAGTTCAAGCAAGCAGACTGCAGCCCCATCTCTAGGAGTTCAACCTGCAGATTTTCCATTCTCCCCCTCTGCGTCCCTGGAGTGGGTTGAGAGGGGAGCAAACTGGAAGAGCCAAATGTGTTGTACTGGAAAAGCTGGAGAGCAGGGAAGCCAAGAACCCTCTTGAAGGCCCAATTCGTTGTGTGTTCTGCCTTTGAAATCTGGGGAAAGTCTGCTTCTTTTGCAGTAACCACTCCCGCTTCATAAAGACATTATATGCAGGTTAAATGAGCATCGGTGGGAAGGCTTGCACTCAGGTATCAAGCCCACCGCTGACTAGGGAAAGACCCTCCTCTCAGTTGTTCTGACTTTGCAGAGGAGGAACAAGCCCTTCCTGGCATGGAGGAAATGAAGAGCTCTGCGGGTCTGCACTCTAGGAAAGGGGTGTAATCCATACTGTGTTTCCTTGGAAGCCCAGGTTTGCACAGCTGCTGTCCAGCTGGGATTTGGAGGAACAGAAAGTCTGCAACTTTGGGATTTCTAGGGCCTACTGTCCCTTTCTGTTCACCTCAGCACTAATGTGCTCCTAAGGTCTGTCTTGGAGAAGAGTTGGTTCCTGTCTCCATTGACTGTGAGTTAGATATCCAATGGGGAGAAGTTAGATTACAGCTCCAAAGTGGACCCACAAGATAGCAAGGCCACCTGAACTGAACTCTTCCCATCTAGTCCCTGATCCAAAGGAAGCAGGTGATTGAGCTGAGCTGACACAGTAACTAGACCCTGATTTAACCTGAGAGCTGGCTAAAGGGGAGATCCCTGGTTACAAGGCAGGCCTCTGAAAGATGAACTGGGGCATGATTATTCCAGCCAAGTGAGGCAGAACCAACTGCAGCTGGCGGCGGCGGCCTGCAGCAGGTGGTGTCCACTGACCTGCTGAGCCTAGAGGAAGGGGTCAGAGAAGGTGTCCGAACGAAAAGAGCACCTGCTCCTAGCCTCCCTGTCATGGTGGGCTCTTGCCTTTCTGGCTTGGATTGCCAAGAAACCAGTCCATTGGCAGACCAGCCCAGAGGCACTTACCAAAGGTGGTGAGATAGAAGGACAAGTTCGGGTGGGCGCGCCGGCTCCCGAGGGAGACGCGGTGCAGGGAGCGCTCCATGGCGATCCCGCTGCGGCCAGGGCAGGAGGGCCTGTCCCCAGGCGATAGCTGTGTGGCTGCAGGTAACCCAGGCAGCAGTCTCAGCCGTCCCCCCTCGCGCGGGCGTCTCCCCGGCGGCGGGCGGGATCCCGGGCCGGCTGCACCGCGCGTTGGAACGGCCGGGCGCGCCAGCCCCTGATTGGCCCGCGCTGGTTTGAATGGGGAGCTTTCCACCTGACCTAGCTGACGCGGGCCAGCTCGGGGGAGGCGTGGGCTCCTGGAGAACGGAGGACTGCCACTAGCCACCAGAGGTGGCTCCTTCCCGGGTGATCCCTCAGGAACCCTAGCCCCAGCACCCGCACCCCAAGCTGCAGGTGCCAACCCAACTATGGCCCTGCCGCCCGCCCGGCTGGCCCACTTGGGCAAGCTTGGCCTGCTCACCCAGCTCCCCCAGGCTGTAATTAGTTAGGTTTGTAACCTGCTTTGAAGCTCAGACCTGTAATCGCCAGACCAACCTAGAGCAAAGGAAGGAGTGCCTGCCCTCCGGAGTGGGCCATGAGGGCATGGGATCAGGGAACATAAAACTGCACATATTCAGGCTGCCCACACCAGGCTGCAGCCTGGATCACTCTCTTGAGCCTCCTTTTGCATGAGAGCAACTTGGCAAAGGTCTAAAGAGGAGCAGCTTGCTCCATCCAGCCTCGGGGCTTCCCATCTGCAGCCTAGCGACATCAGACAGAAGAACAAGCCTCGCCATCTGCAGACACAGTGCAGGGTAGGGCCTTTCAATCTTCCCAACCTGGCACAGGAAGCCAGATAGAAGGAAGGTCAACCCTTGCATGGATTTGTCTGCAAACATTCATGAGACACCTCGAGGGATCAGTTTCACACCAAGACATCTGCTCTGCAAATCTCTGCTGCCACCGTGGGAAGAAAGCTGTTGGTCTCATGTAATCCTAAAAATGGGAAGTGTTAAGAGTTTGTTTCTGGTCCCGACTTCATTGCCAGTGGATATTTGTGGCTCTGTGAGCCACTCAAGACAAGACCAGGGACATGCAAGGGACCGAGCTGAGCAATTCACGCACATGTCATTTAGACTTCACAGTTAACCTAAAAAGTATTCGCTCCAATTTGTCAAAGAGAAATATGAGCCTCAGGCAGAAAGGGAAGGCAGCTTGCCCAAGACTTGCAGAGCTAGAAACAGACAGAACTGAAATTTAAACTCAAGCCTGTCTGCCTCCGAAGACCGTTACCCTTTGTTCCTCCATAGCCTCCGCACATGCTATATAGCCAAGAGCAGGTGTGGACAATAGACCTGCATTTATGACAACAAGAAATTGGATATCATAAGTTCAGCCGGCCATGGGGGTTGAGTTGGGTGAGGAGAACTGAGCAGAAACTAGAGAAGCCTACCTGAGATCAGCAAATACATGGTCAAGTGCAAATGAGCCACACGCCATAAAGCCCAGTGCATTATTTGACCCCTGGTATTTTCTGAAGCCCTGTCCTGTTCTTTACCTCTACCCCATTCCCCTGAGCCGTGAATACCACCCTTAGCAGGAACAGTCCATCCTCCTAGTCCTAACCCACTGGCAGACAGACTTACCTGCACCCTGGACCTGGGCACGCCGGATCCTCCTCCTAGGTGGGTAGGTCTGGGTGCAGGCATCTTTTCTGGACAAGAAAGCATCCTGCTGTGGCCACTCCATGCAGCCAGAGAAAATGGACAGCTCTAGCTTAAAAAGAAGGGCACAAACAGGGAACTGAGTTCCAAAGTGCTGCAGACCTGCAAGAGTGAGAGGAAAACAGAAGTTAGATACGACCCCTGCAAGGAGTGTGCAGTCCCAGTGAGAGCTATATATGTTACATCATGTAACATCATGTCATACAAATATTCCAACTCCATGTAAGTGAACACACATGCATACATATATACACAGAGACATTACACATGCTCCTCATGCACAGACACAAGAACACACATAAATACCATACAAGCATATGCAAAACACACTTCAATATACCACCTACACATACCATATCCATAGGAATAGATCGATTATAGCCTGGCTTCATAAGAATCAGATGTACCTGAGTTTAAAAAGGAGGGGCTAGAAAGACTGATTTGGGAACATTTCACACATACTAACACAGAGTAACAAGTCTTCTTGCCCAATAGCCAAAATATTTTTGAAAAAAATAATAGGATAGGATGCTTAGAATGCCATGATGGTTAATTTTAGCTGTAAATTTGACCAGACTGGGATCAGCTGGGAAAGGAGTCCCCACGATGGACTGTCTAGATTGGATTATCCTATGAGTGGTTTTCTTGACCGGGTTCACTGAGGTAGGGAGATCCACTCTGACAGTGAGCAGCACTGTTCTGTTGACTGGGCCCTAATGAGCAAGAGGAGAGGGACCAAGCCCCAGTGAGCATCGATCCCCCTTCCTGGCTGTGGGAGTGATGTGGCCCACTGTCTCTGCTCCCACCAGCTGCACTGTGACATCCTGCAATGATGGGCTGTCACCTGGAACTGTGAGTAAAAGGAACCCTTTCTCCCCTCTCTTGACCTTGTCAGAGTATTTTATCACAGTAAGCAGAAAAGGAACTGAGATGGACTACCAAACATAAAATAGCATTTTAATAGTGCCATGCCAAGAAGAAAAGACAAATCACCAATGGATTACCAAACGTCCAAGGCAAAATGCTTTAGAAAACAACAAAAGAGATTCATTCAAACAATTAGAAGAGTTAAGTCTAATTCAGATGAAATTTTTAAAAGGAAGTAACAGATAAAGTTCAAAGGGAAAAAACAGACTCAAACAATAAAACCAAAGTCTGGTTTTTAAAGAAGAACAAAAGAGCAGAAACCCCCTGCAATACTACAAATAAACAAGAAAAAGATTCTAAGATATGACAGTAACTTTTTATTTCTAAAAACATGTCGGTCTAGGGATGTGACTCAGTTAGTGGAGTACTCGCCTAGCATGCACAAAGCCCTGGGCTAAGCCCTCATCACCATAGAACCTGGATGCCATGACGACCAACTGTAATCCTAGCATCTAGTTCAAAGCTATCTATCCCTAGCTACATAGTCATTTCACGGCCAGCCTAGGCATGAAACTCTATCTCTTAAAAACAAGATAGTGAAACCCTTTTTTAAAAGATTTATTCATTTTTATTTTACATGGCTATGTATTTGCCTGTATGTGTATATACCCCATGAATATGCCTCATGCCCACAGAAGTCAGAAGTAGGTATTCGATCCCCTAGAGATAGTGTGACTAGTGGTTGTGATCCACCCAAACCCAGATGCTCTAAGAGCAGCAAGTGTTCTTGACCACTGAAGCATCTCTCCAGCCCTGAGTATCACCACTGTGTATAAATTTATACATTCAAAAGTCTGAGGAAATGAGTGGCTTTTAAGAAAGAAGACGGCAAGAAAAGTCCAGATGTCTACTTATATCTCTGACATTGGATATGCCTGCTCACATGCAGGTATGTAGTGTTCACTAGGTCACCAGCCAGAGAGAAAATAGAAAACAAAAACAAACTTCTACCAGCAAAATTCTAGAAAGTCTAAAAAGTTTAGAAGCCCATTCTATATGACCATTAAGAAACAGAAGATGCTAATGCAATTTAAATTATTTCAGAATAAAACAAACAAAACAAAAACAGAAGAAAAAACACAAACAAAAAGCTGGAAAATTTGTCAGTGCCAAGTAAGAGGCTAGACAAAGACAAAAGACAAATAATCTTAGCAACAGAAAGCTATCATCCAAAGGTAAAGATAAGAATAAGATCTGGAGAGATGGGTTAGTGCTTAAGAGCACCAGCTGCTCTTCCAGAGGATCTGGGTTCAATTCCCAGCACCCTCCTGGTGGCTCACAACTGGCTATAATTCCAGTCTCAGGGGATCTAATGTTCTCTTCTGATCTCCATATGTAGCAGGCATGCATATGGTACAATACTAATAATCCTAAAAAATAAAATAAAGATAGAAGTTAATGAATAGAAACACAACATACAGAAAATACATAAAAGGGAATAAAACTGAACCAAAATGCTCACGGTTTTGATACATTCCTTAACAATAAAGTCCATTTTAATGTACTATTTTCCACTTTCTTTTTTCTTCTCACTTTCTTAATATTGGCAACTCATTTAAAGAGGCTATAGGCCAAATAGAATACATCTGTTCCACACCACTGGTTCAAATCTCTGTACAGAACAACCTGGTTTACAAATATGTAAAAAAGTCCTAAATTCACACAAGCCAAAGCCAACAGCTTATTCATGGTCAAGTGGTATTTCTTCCAGGAATCCAAAGACAGTTTGAATTTAGTGAATGTATTATGGCTTTGGCAAACTACAGCCTAACAAACCAAATCTGGCCGATGGCCAGTCTGTGCACAACAGGTGAACTAAGAATGGATTGCACATTTGCAAATGGCAGGGTATGAATAAAAGCAAATAAATAGCTTTTCTGGGTATGATGGTACAAGCCTGGGATCTCCAACCTCAGGTTCCTGGGGTGAGAGGATGGGGGCTACAGAGTGTGACACGCATCTCAAGCAAATCAGCAAATACTTTCCTCTTGCCACTGAAAAGGTATAAACATTTCTAACTGAAAAAGATAAATGAGTAAAGAACTAGGGAGGCAGCTCAGTGGCAGAGCACTTGCCTGGCATGTGTAGACACGGGGTCTCAATGCTGAATGAAAAGGAAAAAAGGTAAAAAAAAATGAAATATATGGCACATATTAGCAACAACAAAAACCTACAAACCTATAAAGACAAATGAGGCAAAGGCACCAAAGGACGTGAAATACCATTCTACAAGAAACATAATTAATACATAAAATACTAGGTTCTAAAAGAATGAAAGAAATCTCTGACCCTACTATTTGCCTTTAGGAAACCCAAGCATTTGTATTCATATATGCAAAACAACTAAGGTGCAGAGTTGTTGCCTGAATCAGGTTGGTAAACCAGTAAATGAACAGTGGAGAAATAAGCCAGCTGTTAGCAAGAGAT